GTTTAGTAACACAGGAGCGAGGAGCTTTACGTAGTGCAATAGGCAAGGATTCAGACACAGTGGAAGGTGTTGGATCCAAAGACTCTGAAGACGACGGAGGAGGCACGACAGCAGATGGCTTTGGTCTTCGAGTGTACACCTGTAACGGGGCAGGCAAAGGAGATCTAGGCTGAAGAGAAAGTGAGGGAAGTGGAACCGCAGGAAGAAGCGACTCAGAAGTAATATCAAGAATTGAATCACTATCTGAAAAATATGGGACGGACTCACAAAAGGTCACATCCACGCTAATAAAGTACCGTTGAGAAACAGGACTATAACAACGATAACCTTTATGAGAACGAGAGTATCCAAGAAATACACACTTTGTGGCACGTGGGTCAAGTTTATCAAAACCAGGACCAAGATTGTGGACATAACAGACACAACCAATAACTCGAGGAGTAAGAGAAAACAAAGGAGAATCAGGAAATAAAATAGAATGTGGAGATTTGCCATCTAATACAGATGACGGCATACGGTTAATAAGATGACAGGCAGTAAGAACAGCATCACCCCAAAACCGTTTAGGCATGCGCATATGAAACAAAAGAGCACGGGTTACTTCTAAGAGGTGTCGATTCTTACGTTCTGCAAATCCATTTTGTTGAGGAGTATAAACACATGAATTTTGATGAATAATTCCTTTATCACTAAGATAGGTATCAAAAGGGGTTGCAGAATATTCCTTAGCATTATCAGAACGTAAAATACGAATTGGACAGCCAAACTGAGTTTTGATTTCTTTTCGAAATTTTTGAAAAATTAAAAATAACTCAGAACGATCTTTCATTAAAAACAACCAAGTCAGGCGAGAATAATCATCCACAAATGTCACAAAATAATGAAATTTATTGATTGAAGAATGCTTTATTGGACCCCATACATCTGAATGAACCAAATGAAAAGGACTAGAGACACGATTATTAACCTTAGACTTGAAAGACACACGATGGTGCTTACTAAATTGACAAACCTCACATGACAAGAATTTCAAATTACTAAGACTAGGAACTTGACGCTGCAGAACTTGAAGTGACGGGTGTCCAAGACGACAGTGCCACTGGAATGGAGACAGAGAAGACTGAAGAGCCACAGGATAAGGTGCCACATCAAAGTAATATAAGCCACCAGCTTCATTCCCCGTACCAATCGTCTTCTTCGTCTTGAGATCCTGAAACACACAAAAAGTAGGATAAAATGTAACAGAGCACTGAAGAGATTTAGTAAGCTTACTGACAGACATTAAATTAAAGGGAAACTGAGGAACATATAAAACAGATGAGAGAGACAAGGAATCACTAAGTTGAGTTGTCCCCAAACCTGAAACCTTAGCGGAGGAACCGTTAGCAAGGGTAACTCTTTGAGAAGGAGGTACAGAATTAAAATCAGATAGAAGAGAAGAACATCCAGTCATATGATCGGATGCTCCAGTGTCTATGATCCAAGGACTGCGAGTGGAAGACAATAGACATGTGGGTGCAGTACCTGACTGGGCAAAGGTAGCCGTGGAAGATGAATTAGATGCTTGCTTATAAGATAAAAACTGAGTATACTCATCACGTGAGATAGGGACCGTATCTGATTCAGCTACATTATGAGATCCAGAAGCAACATCATTCGGAGAGGAGGAAACTTGATTTGCATAACTAGATGGTTTGCCATGAAGGTCCCAACAAAAATTCACAGTATGATTAGAAAGACCACAATGAGTACATTTTCGTGATTCCCTGCCACGGCCACGTCCTCCCCGTGAATCACGACCGCCACGTGTGGAGCGTCCCCCACGACCTCCACGGAAAACAGTATTTTCACCCTTTGAAACAATCAATGCTGAACGCTCACCACTCTGCCCAGTAGTCAAAGTGGAGGTATCACTGACAAGTGTAGCGCGCTGAAGTCTAGAAAACACATCAGCAAGAGATGGAAGTGTGGGACTGCCCATAATCTGTGAACGAAAAGACTCATAAACTTAGGACAAACCAGTAAGAAAACGAACAACATTAAAGTCCTCACGTTGTTGTTGCATACTGCGAACATCAGCAGTAATGGGCTGATACATATTTAGCTCCTCACAAATGCCCATAACTTTGGAATAATACTCTTCTATACTGTGACTACCTTGTTCAAGATGAAAATACTGCTTACAAAGCTCATAAACACGAGTGATATTACCTGTCCTAGAATACAGTTGCTGCAATCTGTCCCATATCTCCTTTGCAGTATCCAAATAAAGTAAAGTTGTACTAATTTGGGGTTCAATACTGTTTATCATCACAGAAATGATCTGAGCATCTTCCTTTTCCCATGCATCAAAAGAAGCATCAGTTTCCTTGAGTTTCTCTTTAGTCAGATGATTACCAAGGCCTCTACCTTTGAGAAAATTTTTAACTGATTTAGCCCACAGTATATAGTTCTTCCCATTGAGTTTAACAGAAGTCATGGAAGAATGAAGACCAAAAGTGGGAGAAAACAAATCTGAAGTGGAGGCCATGTCTTACCCAGCAAAACAGAGAAGAAAATATGAAGCAGAATTGGTATTCGGGCCGAACCTGGGCAAACGGGTCGGATCCGAGAACAGGTCGGATTTGGGCAAACGGGTCGGATCCGGATAACGGGTCGGATCCGGATAACGGGTCGGATCTGGACGAATGGGTCGGATCTCGGATCGGATCTGGTCAAACTGGCCGAATCTGGGCTATCCCGGGTTTACGAAACCAGGGTTGGAATAACTATCCCAGGTTTAGTAAACCAGGGTTGGAATAGCCTCACTCCTGCAGCCAAACACCACCCTTCTCCTTCACAATCAGCGCCGGCGAGAACCAGAACTCTGCCACCGACAAGAAATTCCAGCACCCGAGATTCGCAATGGAAAAACAAGGCTAGTACACACCCTAGCCCTTGCAGCGGTGACGACAACCCAACAACAACAAAAAAAAAAACAGCGATCTAACAACGGAGCGGAGAGGGATCGCGATGATGGAGCTTCTGCAACTTGCGACAGCCAAGGAAGCCTCGACTAGCAAAACGAAAGGTGTCAGATTTGAGAACGACGAACAAATCTTCAGCGAGTCAGATCTGAGAACGACGAACAAATCTTCAGCGAAGAACAGAGTTGGCTTCGATCTTGATTTTGATTTGTAGAAGAACAACCCAACCCAGATGCAATCACAACTACAACCCGCTCTGATACCATGTTGTTTATCATGAGAGATAGAGAGAACAGAGAGAACAAATGTATATATATTTCACCGACACACTACCAAATAAGCCTATATAGGCTTATATAAGGGATACAAGCCTCCTTAATAACACAAGGGCCTACTAATATAATGTAATTACATAATGGCCCAATATATATATATATATAACATTCTAACATGAAGGAATGGTTTATTCCTTTTCTGTACCTTTATTTTCAAAAGAAAACTATATAGTTGAAATGTCTATCTACTTGATGAGCCAAATGACAGAGTTCAAATTAGTTATCTATGCATTTACTAAGTATCAGTTGGAAGTTAAAACTAGGGTTAATTGTGTTTTGGAGAATGAGAACGAAAATGAAAGAAGGGTTTTTAGAGAATGGGATGAAAACGCTTATTTTCAAAAGAAAACTAAATAGTTGAAATGTTTATCTACTTGGTGAGCCAAATGACAGAGTTCAAATTATTTATTTATGCATTTACTAAGTATTAGTTGAATTTTTTTTTTTTTTTTGAAAAAAAAAAAAAAACTAGGGTTAATTGTGTTTTGGAGAATGAGAGAACGAAAATGAAAGAAGGGTTTTTAGAGAATGAGATGAAAACACTCATCTCTAGTCCCACATATTTCTACTACTGTGCTTAATATGATAGACAATTACAAACTCACCCCGCTCTAAAATATTCTAAGTTATTCCTACAGTATCAGATAGTTGAATTCTATTTATTTTTATTGCGTTTCTGTCCACCCACTAACATGCTTATTGAAACATATTTTCTATGCAATTTTCAATTAGGCAGAGAAATTCCACATGAGTACATGAGGAGAATTTTTCTTCTATATTTTTTCTCTGTTTAGTATAAATGAATGGTATGGGTGTGACTTGCAATTGGGGTTCCTGCTCTCATTATACATATATTGGCCATGCTTCTGATGTCAGTCACGATTTTTCATGATGTTATGACATGTTTCTGCTCTCATTATACTAACATGCTTATTGAAGTGTATTTTCTTTGCAATTTTCAATTAGGCAGAGAAATTCCACATGAGTACGTGAGGAAATTTTTCTTCTGTATTTTTGCTCTGTTTAGTATAAATGAATGGTATGGGTGTAACTTTCAATTGGGGTTCCTGCTCTCATTATATATATTGGCCATGCTTCTTATGTCCGTCACGATTTTACATTGATGTCATGACCAACACACTGCTGGTTACTCAATCAAACAGCTTGACATTTACCGTACCTTGTCATTGGTTACTTAATCTAATAGCTTGACCTTGAACCATGTCTTGTCACTAATTGATAAATGATTTCTATGATGCATTGGGTGGAAATGTTGGAACCCATGAGCACAATTATTAGTGTTACTAGGATAAGAGTTGGGGTTAATTCCTTCAAAAATTAGGAATTATTCCTGATATTATATCAATTAGATTTGTGGTACAATGATTATTCTCTCTAATCCTCATGGTTCACTTAATCCATGAATTTATCCTTTGATTATTCATTGTTCTAAAAAGTAGTTATTGCATCTCGTGATTAGATTTTTGCTTTAATTTTTGAACATTAACATATACCTATTGCAGTAGAAGGTAAAGGACAAGGAGGCAAACGAAAATTAATATATTTTAAGTAATAAGAGAGAATTTTAATGAGTTAAATATAATAGGTGAACAAGCTTGTACCGAAAAGAGTGAAAGAAGACAATTTACTTTGCCATTCCCATCAAGGATGATGATGATGACTGGTTTCCATAATGCAGGTTGCTATTCCAATTGTCCCAACCATTCGGGTGCTTGTCACCTTTACGAAGTTTGAGGAGCTTCAGCCAATGGAGGAGTTCTCAACCCCCTTCTCCAGCCCTGCTAATTTCCGAGATGCCAAGTCTAAGGAGTCGGAGGCTTCCACGTCATGGACTTCTTGGATGAGAGGGAGCAGAGGTGGGCAATCAAGCGACAGTGAAAGCTGCAACTTCCAGGATGAGATTAACCCTTTCCACATACCATCAAATTATGCCTGGATTGACATCAATGAGAGGAAACGCCGGATAAAGGCCAGGAAAGCCAGGATCAAGAAAAATAGGAAACAATCAGCAGCAAAAGTAAGGACAGTGGAGGGCACTTGAGGGAGGATTTGGAAGAATAAAAGGCATAGAAGATCCTTGGTCATACTTTGCTGCCTCTGGATACTTTGCAAGAGGAAGAGGTAAAGCCCATTTCTTGCATGTCTGACCTCTATTCTTTATTTCGAATGTGGTGGAGGGGCGTACCGCTCATGAAACAATTGCGAGGTGATTGCTTATTGTTGGTGCAGAATATGTCATCTTCTTCCAATCGTCGTATTGTTATGAGATGTAAAATTGGCGAGGAACAGAAGTTCCTCGTTTCTTCAGTAGCTTGTTCTTGTTCTGATTTTTCTATTTTCAATTATCTAGTTTATGCTTCCTGATCGTGATTCTTTGTTAATTCCAGACTTGTTAGATGACTGTATTCTTTAAGGAAACTTGGCTCTACTCGGCTGAGATGCAATTCCTCAGGCTGGACAAATAAGCGGCGAACAACTTCCGTCTGAAGAAAAAGTTTCCGGGACAGGAAGAAATACTTCACCACGCGGTGACTAAAAATGAAGCCCTTTAGATAACTGGTTTCACAATATCAGACCACGAACTGTCACTCAAATAAGAGATCGGAGGTTCTGGAACCATTTTTGGGGTCTGTATTTCCTTAAAATGTAGCACAAGTTGCCTTGGCTATCGTTTGAATCCTCCTCTTTTGTGGATTGTGTCATTCACGGATTCTGCTTCATTTTCAGGATTTACATTTCAATTTTAGACATAAGGAGCTTGCTATATCTGTTGGAGATGCTATGACAGTGGACAAATAGGATTGCATTGTGTTATATCTGTTTTGAAAATTATATCCGTTACCTTACCTGCCCTAGCATGGTTTTTCATGTCAATCGTAGTGTAGTGTAGGTATAAAATAGTAAAAACTATTATAAAATATTTGTAAATTGAATTTTATGTTATACACTATTAGTTGGTTGTAAATGTGTTTGGGAAAAAATAAAATAAAAGAGAAAGCATTTGGGAGTAAACGGGGCTGGTGGAAAAACATAGGTGGGAATAAGGTTTTCTTATGGGGTGGAAAAACATACGGTGGGAATAAGGTTTTCTTAGGGCCTTGTTCACTAACGCTTTTGCTCTTTCCATTGTGTATTCCATTATGTATGTTGTCGCTAATATCTTATTTCCATTATACTATTATGTGTCATGTTGCTAGCATCTTACTTCCATTATACAATTATACTTCAGAGTTCAGAGTCTATATAAGATATAGAATTATATAGGATTCCTCTATTCTAGGTAAGTTTGCCACATTAAATATGCAATGCGTTTTGATTTTCCCTCAAATTCATATTTTATTTCAAAGGTACAAGAGAACTTCATTTCTTTTTCCAATAAATGTAAATTATATTTAAGAAAATAAAAACAAAAGACAAGTGAATTCAAAATTTCTCGCAATACTTTCACAATGCAATTTTGTCATTATAGTGTCAACCCCACTTGCCCAAGCTTTTTTGATTCATTTTGCTTCGAGGGATTCTGGGCTTGATTTGTGATTGTTTTTTTAGATCTACTGCTATCGAGTTAGAGTTAAGGCTTGGAGTGGGAGAAGCATATCTAGACAACATCTTCTTGGCTTAAGAAATCCTAACTCACAAAGATCTTTGACGGTGAAACCTATCAAAATTTTATTTCTGGTATGGTTCTGCAGAATAGCTTGTGACAGTGTGAGAGAATTTGAAGGTTTATCCAATATATTTTAACTTGAAGTTTTATTTATTTATTTATTTATTTTAACCTGGCAAGAAAACCGCCATACGACATCTACAAGACAGGACCAATTCCCACATACACAACAAGAACCACATAAAACATCAAAGAACAAAAGCTAGCAATAACTTAACTAACACCCATGTCAAGATCACAGTCTCGACAACAACCAATGGTGTCAGTAATGATAGGACTACTAACATCAACAAGCTATCTGAAAATCAAAGGACAGAAAGGATTTGGGGACTTTCCAAAAGACTCAGATTGCAGCCCTATATGTCAGAAACAGAAGCGTATCTATCACGCCAGGTAACGTCGAGATAGTTGTTTGTTTGACACACAATGTTACCAACTCAATGTTGGGGCCCACAGCAAGCAAAATATATCAGTGAAAATAGCTTGCCCAAACATTAGGCATGACGTCACAATGTTATGGTATTAAATACATGTAACTTAAGAGGATTTGCACCCGCTTGACTTACTTAGAACCGTCTTACTTTGCGTCTTCTCCACGCATCATGTTACTTAAGAGGATTTGTGCCCGCCTGATTTACTTAGAACCGTCTTGCTTTGCGTCTTCTCCACGCGTTATCATTATATATTAGGGGAAGTACAAGGTAACTTCTCCATGCATCATTTTACTTAAAAGGATTTGCGCCCGCCTGACTTACTTAGAACCGTCTTAAATATATTATTTTTGTTTGGCAAGTTGGTGTTTTTAAAATAAAAAAAAAAAAAATTGTACAACCCCTAATAATATGATGAAACATAATCAACGCCAACTATTGCCTTTTTTTTTTTACACAGAATCATTTTTTAGTTTTCAATAATATGATGAAACATAATTGTTTGGAGAGAGTCTCCTCAAAAGAACCTGACTGACTTAGAACCGTCTTGCTTCGCGTTTGTCCATTTATTCAAAAGTTCAAATTATTGAATAGTGCTGCATACCTACCTATTTATATCCAATCACTTTTTCGATTCGGATTCAATGTGGAATAAATGACCCTTGTTACACTTGGTGTTAATAGAATAGTAACTTCTCCCCTGTGACACTAGGCTGTAGGGATCCTCCAGATAATCCAAAGCTCGAAACTTGGATTAGGCCCTTTAGAGCCCATCGGGATTCATCGGGTCCAGCCCATTAACCTAGTAAGATGGGCCTGGGCCTAGAGTCTAAAGCTAGGCCTGGCCTAACAACCGTCCGAAGAAATTCTGAATTATTTTAATTTTAAAAAAAAGCACCTTGGGCCTTGATCATATTTCCTAAGAAGCTCGGGATTCAAAGTCCATTGAGTTGGACCAAACAAAATCTGCTCGGGCCTGGTCTTGGGAATTTTTTTTGGGCCGGGTCACTCCAGTATAATATGGCTAATGAACAAATGGGCAGGCTCCATTTTTAGTAAATGGGCTAATTCGTTTTAAGAGCAATATAAGAAGCAAATTTATAGTTTATTTTATCCAAAAACGAATTTTTTTTTTTAATAATTTCATTTAATAGATTAAAATTTTAAACCATAAAAAGCACGACCTTGGAGTAAAATCATTTTAAATTATATGATTACCACAACATTAATGATATATTAGTATTAACAATACATGGAGTTTTTGATGAAAAAAATATAAAAACAATTCTCTAACTGATAGACTTTCTATAAATTTTATATCAATATTAATATAAGGACAATACTCACCACATATGTGGTGCAATGTTAAACTAACAAATATTTTTTATATTTAAAAAAATAAAAAATAAATGATTTGATACCTATCTAGGTTAAACCTAAATAAATCTTAATCAAATTCTAATTCTCTCCTCTCCCTCTTTCTCACTTCTGTCATGTAAAAAATAAAAATAAAATTAAAACCTAAAACAAAGAAAAACATCTTGTGCCTATATGCTATTTGAGATCAAAATCTCTAAATGCCAAAACCCCACAGAGAATTTAAGTGTATAGTTTAAAAAAATAATAAAAAATAAATAAATAAATAAATCAGCTTCAAATACCAATGTTGGAGAAAATGATGACCCTGGTAAGGTGCGAGGTCCTATTTAATCAGCTTCGTTAAATAAGTCTAACCGCAAAACATTGCATTCGACATTATTCTGGACACTTTTGAATTTAACGTCACCAATTTTTAGTTCCTTTTTGGTCTTATGAATTTTTCCGAATAATAAAACACCAGTTTATCAATGTAAAAATATGAACCAAAACCCTGTCAATTACTATTAGACTTGTCCACTCAAAGCTTACTTCTAAAATTAGCTTTAAAGTTCATTACAAATAGACGAGTCCACTCAAAGTCTCCTCAAAAGGACTTTGCACGCCTGAGTACGCGTCTTCTCCACGCATCACGCCAACTATTGCCTTTTTTGTCCTTTCACACACACACACACCACACACACAATCGCAAGGAAGAGTTTGTTCCCTCCATTCTCTGTAATCTATCGAACCACCACCGATTCTCTGATTTATTGGTTGGAGAAAACGCCATGAACGGCCAGCGAACTCGAACGGACGACCCGTTCCTCCTTAACTACAACGCCACCGACTTGCGAATCGCGTCGGAATTTCTCTCCAATTGGCTTCCTTTCCTATCCAGAGGCCTCTGTGGCCGCTGCACTCGAACCCTCTCAGATCGCATTCGATCCCTTAAACCAGGTACAAAAACCCCTCTGTTCTTTAATTGATATTAATGTCCATGACAAATATATATATATATATATATATATATATATATATATATATATATATGTATTGGTTTTGTTTAATTTATGATTTGCCTATGAATATTAGGGTTTGGTTTGTATTAGGGTTTTTTTATGTTTCGTTTCGGTTCTGTTTTCTTCGTAATTCGCCCCCTTTTGTTAGGGTTTCGGTTGGTATTCAATTTTTAGAAATTAACGCTTTTGTTGAGTGCTTATGTAATCTGATTGGAAAATTTGGTTGTGTGTTGTTGGGATAATTGTAGAATTTGCCGACGATGTGGAAATCTTAAACAAAGAAGAGAGAGTTGGGATTTTGAGTTCAAATAATGTGGATTTGAATGAGATTAGTGACAATTCCGACTCCAATTCCCTGGGGAGTTGGAAGGATGGGGCAGATACGAATGATACGGCAGATACAAATGGGTGGTTGGACCCTGTTGGTGAGTCCACCTCGACAAGCGGAATGACAGGCTCCCCATCACATGATGAAAGCTGGAGAGCAAAAATGTCGTGGGCTGAGATGGTGCAGGAAGATGAGCTTGAGGCAGAGGAAGAGAATGAATCAAATGGGCATGCGCTGTCAGGAGAGGTGATAATGGCAGCTAAGGACAGGCTGAAGCCGGAGTTCTCAATAGATCGAAGAGAGTACATCCGGTTTAATAATGTTCGGAGGAAGAACGATTTTATCTGCTTGGAGAGAGTTAAAGGGAGATTTGTTAACATTCTTGATGGGCTGGAGCTCCACATGGGGGTTTTCAGTGCTGCGGAGCAGAAGAGGATAGTTGACTTGGTGTATTTGCTTGAGGAGAAGGGAAAGAATGGGGAGTTGAAAGGTTAGTCCACCACTAGTCCATAAAACTTTGTGCAGTGCTTGTCATAATGCTTTAAATTTTTTTCTCTTACTTTACTGTATTTAATTGTTTGTTTTCATTAGAATCATGGTTTTTTGAGTTAAAGATTAGACAAAGTTTTTGTACATCGAATGATGACCATTTATCATGTTCTAATAGCCAATTCCCCTCCACATATGGAAAGTCAAACCCATATTTTTTCATTTATCATTTGTGTAAAAGCTAATTTCAAGGATTATTGGAACTTGTTGCATGAGTCGTGGTGAAGCCTGTTTACATGGAGGCTAGACATGAGAACATCCTGATTGCAGTTTCTTTATAACTGCCATAAGCATTAGAATGGTAGGAACAATCACGAGAAAATCTTGTAGAGGTTCTTCATTCTTAAATAACAACAGCAGCAATTTGTTGACTCATTGTTCATGATGGTTTATGTGCCTTAGCTTGCACTGACATGATTTCTTGTTAAATTAAGTCTATTTTTCATTTTTCCACTGCCCTAGGTTATTGGTTCTTGTATTAGCTCTATTTTGCTATCTTTACAATGCTCCCTAGGTCATCAGTTACCTTCTCATATGCTGTATGCTGTATGTCAAGGGAATTCAAGCAAAACTCAGGGTTTGTTGTGGGTGTCAAGTAATTGTATTATTTGTATATCCTGTAGAGCTAGTTCTATCTCATTGTATTGCGCTTCATGGTATCTCTGACTTTCAACCTTTTGCTTAACTAGAGATCATTAACTACTTGATCATTCCATTCCATAATCTAAATGCATTAAATAATTGGATTCTTTGTTCTACTTTTAATTCTAGTTCTTTCTTTATTTATTTTTAAATTCATTCCGTTATTAATTTTGATAGATATGGGTAGCTTCACTGCTCTCATATAAGCTTGCAGTTTCTTACTAGGGTCATAAGTTGAAAAATAAATGAAATTATGAAATTATTATTTGTCTGACATCTACAAAAAGTTTATTTTTCTTCTTTTTGGCATGGTACGAATTTTCATCCTAGTTGACTCTATTAGTATAGCTGTTTGATCTTGGGGAACTGCTTCAAGATTTTAAAGTGGGTTTTCTATGGCATTATAACTTAGAGCAATGTCCATCAGGAAATAACAATAATAGAAAACAGCACATATAATATAGAATATGGTTTTTAATATTGGCCGTAACATTACATGAAGGCATTTGGCGAAACTATCACTTACAATAACATTGTCCTACTAAAATTCACAGCTTTAAAATTTGTAACAGGCTTGTTACATGCAGTTAAAAGCCATTGCATACCATCACATTCTGTCGTGGCACCGTAAGTAGTTTCAGTGGGTAACACATAACCGTCTGTCCGTCATGTTATGCTACATTAAGTAATTAAGCCTGTGTGTCAGATGCCTATCTGGGCATTTTATACTTAAAGAGTCTTCAAACTGTGACCACAAGAGAAAATGGCACTTTCCAAATTTTGAATGTCAGCTGGTACAATTTCTGTACTCCTTACTGGGTAAAGTTTTTCATCTGATTTGTTGGTTAATTAGATGATTAAGAATGTAATTTATTGTTGCTTTGCATATTAAGAGATGAATGTGCCAGTGGCTAATGTGGCCGTGGATTCTATACACGTCTGCGTGTAGAATTTTAAAATTTAATTATCTAGATATTATTTTGGTTCTCCCTAGAAAGGGTGCTTTTCTTTCATTTTTATTGTCGTTCTTCCATGAACTGTTTGAGAAGCATCTATGTTTATGCTATGGCATTTATCCATTTGTATTGCTTTTTGCAGCGCGCACATATACTGCACCAGAAAAGTGGATGAGGGGCAAGGGGCGTGTGACCATCCAATTTGGTTGCTGTTACAACTACGCGACAGTAAGTTTCTCTTACTTTTTTCTCCAATTAATTGTTGACTTGTAAAATTTTCTAATCAAAGCTCTAGTAGATATGATACTTGTGTGACAGCTGTAGAATGAAAAAAGTGTGTAAAATGGATAGAAGAGCTTATGATTTCAAATTTTCAATACTGTGGCAGGATAAAAATGGTAATCGCCCAGGCATCATGCGGAATGAAATTGTGGATCCTCTACCACATCTTTTTAAAGTGATGATCAGGAGGCTCATAAGATGGCATGTTCTTCCTCCATCCTGTGTACCTGACAGCTGTATCGTCAACATTTATGATGAAGGCGACTGCATACCTCCTCACATTGACAACCATCAGTTTGTTCGACCTTTTTGTACTGTTTCATTTCTGAGTCAGTGTAATATAATCTTTGGAACAAACTTGGAAGTTGTGGGTCCTGGCGAGTTTACTGGTCCTAGCGAAATCCCCCTGCCCTTGGGGTAAGTCTGATGTGCATACCAGCTTCCATGCATTTCCTGTTTGTTTTATTCCATCTACTGCATGCTATGCTTTTATTTATTATTTATTAAATTTAATTTTTGTTTCTGAGAAATCAAATTCTTCAAGTTGAAATTCATTGTTTTTCGTTCCCATCCAGATCTGTCCTTGTATTAAGTGGAAATGGGGCCGATGTGGCTAAGCACTGTGTGTCTGCAGTACCTACTAAAAGGTACATGACACACTCTAGTTTGGTTATTTTTACTGCAGTTTTTGGTTATTATATTCTTTCTTGTTTATTTGAATAAATGATTTTGATTAATATGTTTCCTGTCTAACTCATAGGATATCAATTACTTTCCGGAAAATGGATCAATCAAAATGGCCTATTGGATTTGTTCCGGAGCCTGATTTGCAGGGACTTCAACCCTTGTCCTATGAAGACAGCACACCAAAAAGTTTGAACAGTTCAAAATCAAAACTTCTTGTGGACAGACAGGAAGGAAGAAGAGTGCCGGAAGGAAGAAGAGAGAATAGGAGAGACCAAGCGAGGGGATCATCCACAGAGATAGGCAATATGCAGTCAGAGCCTCGTTACTCAACTCGGTATCAACAAGGGTCCGGTAATAGGTGGATAGGCAATATGCAATCAGAGCCTCATTACTCGACTCGGTATCAACAAGGGCCCGGTAATAGGTGGATAGGCAATATGCAATCAGAGCCTCATTACTCGACTCGGTATCAACAAGGGCCCGGTAATAGGTGGATAGGCAATATGCAATCAGAGCCTCATTACTCGACTCGGTATCAACAACGGCCCGGTAATAGGTGGAGGTTCAGGGTGAACTTGGACAGGTGATGGGTGCATTGGTGCTGGTGTTCAAGCACATGCCAGCTGGTCTGTGTCATATTATAGTGTTTTATTATTCTTATGGTGTGGCCTTGTACTTGAGGGTTTTACATCAGTTTTCATTGTCAATTCTTTGTACGAACAATTTAATGGATGAATAAAAATATACTAATATTTTTGCATGGTTTTTGCAATTTTGTGTGATTTGTTTCATTATTTCACATCCTTTCTTATTCATTTGATATATGTATTATATGATAAGTTAACAAAGTGTAAGAGTGAACGATAAGAGTGAGCACAAGAGCATAGTTTAGTGTTTAATTACTAAACTACCTTATGTCATAGTGAGGAAGATGCCAGTTGACTTAGTTTCTTCAGTGGGAGGTTTTACAAACCTAGGCTCAAGGTCACCTCCAAAGACGTCAAGACTAAAATACCCTGTTCACCAAGAAGAACAATATATTGCATAGTTATAGGAAGCTTTGTGCACATCTAAGAGGCCATAGATACAGAGTGATATGCAGACATAGGTATCTGGTGAAAATGGATACCATATACACAAAGGAACTATACGTATAACTATATATCACAATAATTTACATTCCTAGTAGGCTGCCTGCTATGGATAACTCTCTACCAGAACCTATCTTTGTTGACACTCAAGTAGCCAGCCATCACTTTTCCACCTGTATTCCTCATTCCATCTATTAAGAAGCACCATGTCGAACCTAATGCTCCGATGAAGAAGTCAGCTTCTGTAGCCATCAAGAAGTTAACCAGAGGATAATTCGTGCTGGTTTCCCTTCCGAGGCTGGCTTCATACATGGGCATTGTCATGTTTCCCACTTGGCGCGTTATGTTCGTGTAGTAAAATTTCCAATTGGGGTACAATTTTGATTTATCGATGACTTCCTGAAAACGAACATTGCTATGAGAATTTGAAGATGAAGTTTAAAGAGTTACCTGTTCTAGAAGATGGAAGGATTTAAAGCAGAACTGAAATAATCATGAACCTGCATTTCAGTGGAAAGCCAGATGCTTTTAAGGTGTGGAAAGCGCTTTCTGATGCGTTCAGCGAGATGCATGTATTCTTCGAATTCAACCACCTTCATTTCACATGCCTTGTCTCCCATTCTTACATGCATGCTTAGCAATGGCCTGGGGATCCATGGCTTGTGATTTGACCATACAAATTCTTCAATGTCAGATCTCGGCGTTCTCATGACATCCTGTACAGGGAAACATTTTAATAGAATTATTAACTATGTGTGTGTGTGTGATCTGTGCTGAACTCAAGACTTTTCTACTTTTTAACATTTACTTGTGCCTTCATGAAATTAGCATAAGCATCTATTTTGACAAACCTCTGGCCATTTGTCAACTGGATTTGCAAGAACCATTTTTGCAGCTTCCCATCCAAACGCTGCATGCCTTGCGACATTAAGTAAGTTACAAGTGTACTCGGTCTGGAACCTCATTAGGTAGCGCACTGCCTGACAGTGATGTAAAAATAAACTTATTATCTCATGAACCAACCATCCCTTTTTTTTGTGTGTGTGTGTTTGTAAGAAACACATACACCCCATGATGTCCCAATGGTGGAAAGAAGATCCATTCTTTTCATAAACATAATTCTTAGGCTGAGTCAACATAAGCAGACTCTCGGACTCTCTCACAAGTCGATAGTGGGCCTAATTAGCCGTTTTGAAAGTGCTGGCTTATGCCAACTCGCCTTGTATAGCACCCCTATAAAACTGCAGCAATTCGCAGGTCTAATGATAGATATACATTGGTTTTCCTCTCAGTTGACAGTGTAAGAACATTATTCATAATTAAATTATTTTGTTTGCTCGTACAGAGTGATTGTTATATATAAATATATATTTATTTATTTTCATTTTAGGTGTATACTCGCAAATACTAGTTTCTTAAAAAACTAAGAAATTTCTAAATTAAATTTTTAGTTGAACCTGTGCTCGCCACCACCTCCGGTCCATTTTGCGATGATAAGCGATCAGACTCCCATTTATTTCTGTTGTTGGCTGCAAATAACTCCAAGGGTTCCCCCAAACCCTGTTACGAAAACTGATGTTAGAATTGCCAAAAATATGATGTGTTCATGGAATCTGAAAAATGATTTAGAGAAAGGGAAAAATATGTAATAGCTCACCTTGGTGTCCGTCCTGACCATATTACCTTAGAACTATAATTGTCTTTTCCCGTTACAATTCCTTTATCCCATGCTTCCTTACTCTCCATAAGCTTCAATGCACGTTCCCGGCATTCATTAGATGTTTCTGGGAAGAAGTAGCAAGACCAACTAGAGCGTGATGAACCTATAAAAACATATAATGAGATTAATCAGTAACAACATTTGAAATTTTTTGTAAGATGGTTGTTTTCTGCTAGCTACAAGCTTAAATAATTGAAAATAATCTTAGAGCTCTGAAGTTGAAACTTAAACATCAAAACAAAAGAATTAAGAAGACAATGAAATAAAATGTCAACGAAAAATTCATTTTGGAGGAGACTAAAATGCTGACCATCAGAAATCGTACCTTTACAACCACCATGGTCTGCTCGATTATAGTAGTTCGTAACAAGGACCCTTTTTTCATTAATTGCAATAGCAAGAAGCCCACACATTCCTGCAATCTGAGCTCCAATACCAAAGCCAGGCAACCTTTCCCAGTCAGCAACAAGGAACCTCACATTAGCATCACTGCAGCTTACAGGGTGCTGATGGATCCATAGGTCACGTTGTACTTTCCTAGTAAAGGGATAATTCTCCTCATCTGATCCGGTAATCTGCAAAAATTGATGGACTTCTAAAATGTTAAAAATTCTCAATATCTGACCAGCACATTTCTATCATATACACAATACCCTAAGTGATTGTTATTTGCCAATTGTTTCATCGCTCAAAAATCGAATAGGGTCAATTAAAATTATCTCATACACTTGCAGAGGGATAAATGTGCACACATGTGGATGTTAGTTTTCAGTATTATGTAAGCTCTACTCGTGCCGCATACTTACAATTCCAACAGATCAAAACCCCGCTTTGCATATGAACACATACACACATGTGGTTTTACCTGAATAAAAAATATACCTTTACACATGTGCATGGATATCAACAGATATAGAATTACTTGCAAAACAAATGTACATTTTTGTACTTTTCTGAAATGATATTTAGGAGTGAAACAAATAACTAATTGATTATAGCATAGAAACATACCCAAGGAGGATAAGCACCTTCAGATAAGGCTTCATGCCTATAATACCTCAGTTGCTCGTCAGCTGCCGAAAATGGGAAGACATCTAGCTGCCCTTTCCAAATTGTCCAAGGAGGGAAGCTTTCATTTGCAACACGGTTATCAAGACGTTCGTTTACTTGTGCACTCAACATGCAATTCTCAAAGTGAGGGGCCTTTGGTACATTAGAACTACCCCATCCGATACCTTGCAAGAACTGATCTTCTTCCTCAATTATCGAGTCATTTAGCATATCACTCCAAGACGAATACAGTAAAGGCACTTTATCATCGGCTCTCCATTTGATACTCTTCTGTGAATCCAACCTTGCTTCTATTTCCTTTGGTTTAAAATTGCATCCTCCACTTGTAACCATACCTGAAATAAGTGATTCAAAAAGATAAGGTATAAAAATTCATGGGAAACTAAGGTTGGATTGAATATCAGGAATAATCTTGTAATTTCCAAACATAAAGAAAGAGAAAAAGGAAAACAAAAAATGCCCAGGCCAAAAGATTATGCTGAAAGACTGTTTAATTAAATAATATGCTCAAAATAAGTATGATTATAATCGCATTTTCGTGTTAAACGTTAATGCTCTGTTTTAACAGGAAAAATCTTCTACAATAGAATTTTGATGCATTTAAGATGCACTTCCAATAGTGATTTTGCAACTAAATGTTAACTGAAGTTCTATACAAAATTTCAGAATAAATGAACTTCCGGTTGAACTTTGGTTTTAATTATACTGTCAAAATTTCCGAATTTCCGAATTTCCCAAATTTTCGGCCAAATTTTACTTTTTGTTCTTTTTACAGTGATAATAATATCTTCTTAAAGACTAGTTATAAAGTTGGAAATACTTGCTTGATTGGGAAGTCAGTCATTAAAGAAAGGAAGAAACTTAGCTATTAAACTGACCATAAGCTGGTAGTTATGGATAAAGTTCAATGCTAAAGCAAGTTATGAATATTGGATCAGAAGCAATTCCAACTTTAGGTTGCTTAAAATACACCCTTTCCATCCTCTGTTCATGAATTTCAACTCGTGAATTCCGGCCGACTTTTACTAAACTAGGGTTCAAATAGTGGTTTTGAACCTAGTTAAACATTTATGTTCTGTTTTAACAGGAAAAATCTTTTATAATAGATATTCGATGCATTTATGATGCACTTCAAATAGTGATTTTGCAGCTAAATGTTAACTGAGGTTCTATACAAAATTTCAGAATAAATGAACTTCCGGTTGAACATTGGTTTTAATTCTATTATGTCAAAATTTTTGAATTTCCCAAATTTTGTTTTTTGTTCTTTTTTTTAAGAGATAATAATGTCTTCTTATAGACTAGTTATAAAGTTGGAAATACTTGCTTGATTGGGAAGTCAGTCATTAAAGAGAGGAAGTAGACTTTGCTATTAAACTGACCATAAGCTGGTAGTTATGGATAAAGTTTAATGCTAAAGCAAATTATGAATATTGGATTAGAAGCAATTACAACTTTAGGTTGCTTCAAATACACCATTTACATCCTCTGATCATGAATTCCGGCCAAATTTGACTAAACCTCAACAAAAAAATATTCCAAACTAGAAAACTATTGACCAAACTTCAGCAAACACTATGTATTGAATTTCAAATATACTTTATCTGAATTTAAAAATTTTCAAAAAAAAAAAAAAAAAAAAACCCACAAACTCTTCTTCATTTCTTTGGCTATAAAGCTTTTTGGTATTAGAATTTTATGACTAAATTTTACATTTATCTGCAAATTGTTTTGTTTTTTGTTTTTGTTTTTGTTTCATTTAACTTAGCTGCGATTAATGTTAAGGTTAAGCACATTATCTTATGAATTTCCCAAAAACAATAAGGATGCAAGACAAGCATAATATTTAAAGACATATGTTTTCTTTTTCCTTTTCCATGGAAAAATCTGAGCCATTTTAAACTAATACTAGAAAAGAAATTGCACAACAATAAAAAGCAAAAAACTGAAATAATTAAGTGAAAAAACAGAGGAAGCCCCACATACTGATATTTTTGGAGCTCGAATTCCATGTCGAAAATGCCGAAAACGAAGTCCCTCCAAACTGAGAAGCACCAATTGAAGTAAGAACAGCCAGAAACAAAGAGGTGAGACAAACCCCACACAGAAAGCCCACCACACAGATTTGGCATGGAAATGAGCTCCCAATTTGCAGAGCTCTCTGAGAAAAAACTCTTTCAATGGACTTCTGATTCAGAGGCTCCATTTCTTTTCCACAAACAATCATAAATTCCAACCAATTAAAAAAGACCCTCAACAAGCCCTTTGAAACTTTAAACTGTTATATGTCATTTCCTTCCAACCAACTCTTAATTACAATCACATGACATCATATTCAGCTTTCCCTTTCCCTTTCCCTTTTCCTTTCCCTTTCTGATCATCAATCTCAAATTTTCAAGAATTCATCAAAAGTGGACATTACTGACAATCACAAACCAAAAAGCTTGAGAATGGGTTGCCAACTTGCCCTACAAGTGTTCAAAGAAACAACACAATCACATCATTTTCAACTGCAAAATAAATGAGAAGTAACGATCATAAATTAGGGAATAAAATTAAACCACAGTATCAATTATCAGATAGAGACTTCCGATTTTTAAAAAATAAATAAAAAATTTGACTACAAGAGACACATTCAAGAAAGCCCACTTAGGTTGCAGATAGAAATTGAAGGATCACAAGACATGAACAGAGAGAGAGAGAGAGAGAGAGAGAGAAGAAAGGCATGACTGGTTGATGGAAACTACTCACAGGTGGAGGGAAAAGGAGAGAATGGAAAGTTGTCAACCAAACAAGAGAAAGCATGCAGAGAGAAGACACATCACACATGTGCCATTTACCCCCTCGTTTAAGAGCAGAGGGAAGCAAGGCACCAACAAAAGCAACTTATGAGTACAACCCAAAACCAGAAAGCTGAAATTATGAAGATAAAAACTGAAAAGATAAACATGACATCCACAACTAATGGCATTTTCAGCAAAAACAAAATTGACAGGGACAGAGAAAAAGGTGCATTGGGAAACTAACCCATAATTTTTATTTTTTTAATATTTTCCAAGAAAAAAATATCAGCATACTCTGAAACTTGAACATTCATTCACTGTGTTTGGATATTTGTGAACAAAATTTGTGTGCAGTAACTACTGAACTGGAATCAGCTGGTACAGGTGGGGAATATATTCTCTATCAAGTGGGACCCACTTGACTCCATTCATTATCATCCATCCCAGCTTTGTTTCTTCTTAAATCGATGTTGATATCAATTTTAGATCCTCTGGAGTGTTTAAGAATAAATGTTCATATAAAAGAAACAGAATGGGAGATTAGTTGGGGAAGAGTGTTTTTTTTCTCACTCTATGGTGTGAGTGTTGATGTGTACTCGCCGGTTTTTGATTGACACGTGGAGTTTTGTAGAGAGAATGAGGCGAGTACGGGAATTGGTTTGTGTTGGCGCGTGGGCTTTGGGTGGTGTTGCTGGAAGTTACTAATGAGCAATGAATTAGGAAGGGTAAGCTTTCATTGAAAGATATGTTGCTGATAAAGTGGTCGTTGATTATTTTCAAAATTAAATGTGTTTTAAAAGTATTTCTCATTCTTTAAAAATGATGACTACTTCAATGATACGAATGACAAGAATGATATGAATTTATATTTATATATTAATAGGACAATGATAATTGCACACAAAAAAAAAAAAAAAATCAAATGACATGGTTCCCTTTGACAGATAAATGTTGTTACACCAAATTTTTTTATTTTTTATTTTTTATTTAGTTAATACTCACACACACGTGTCTCTGAAGAAGTTTAAATCCCGACCTTTTTTTAAAAAGTAAGAACTTGATACCATTAGGCTATTGGTCCGTTGATCAATTATGCAATTTCTATTGTTAAAAAAAAGTATAATATGAGAGTATTATTATTATTTTTTTTTCTTTGAAAGTTCAAGTGAAGATAGACACACTTTAAGTTATAGAATTTTTTTAAATGGGTGTCGCTTGCATTTTAGTTATCGTTCTCACTTTGTGTAATGTAGATTTTACTGCATGTTCTCAAATTCATTGAGGCACTCTTACTTACTATGCCTTAGGACTAGGGATGGCAACGGGGGCATATTTGGGCGAGTATACCCTCCCCTGCTCCCACAACCATTTAAAAACAACACCCATGTCCGTGTCCAAAATTGCAAAAATGGGAGGACTTTCCACCCCATCCCCACCCCTTTTAAGACCAGAAATTCTCCTCCATTTAATTTTTTTATCAACTAAAATTATAGAATTATTGAAAATATTTATAAAAAAAAAGACAAAAAATAGTTTAACATAAAATTTAACATTAAAAACATTCTAAATGGTTGCACATGTTACTTGTTTCAGTTTTTTTCTTTAGATTTTGTTACAAAACAAACTATCTCAATATATATACTAACGAAATAAAGATACTAATGCAAAATATATATATTAATGAAATAAGGGTACTTAAGTAATTTATCTATCTAAACGGGACGGGACGACCTCTCTCGCTCTCATACCGAATCCGTGCGGGTTTTCAATACATCAAACCATACCCGCTCAAATAAGCTAAACGATCCCCCAAAATTGTCAAAAGCGAGACGGGACGGAGCGAATATCTACGGAGCAGAGCAAATTGCCATCTTACTTTGAATTTTTAATACATCAAATCATCCCTACTCAAATAAGCTAAACGATCCCCCAAAATTATTACAAACAAGACGAGGCGAAACGAATATTTATGGAACAGACAAATTGCCATCCCTACTCAGGACACCTTCGCAATATTACTCATTGACCTTGAATGCTTCTAATTACAACTTTTTTTTCCTTTACTTTGAAGGCATTTACTTATATGCTACTCTAATGGTCGTACTTTGAATGGGGCTTTAACATTACAATCTAATATTTATATTGATATCCTTAATCTAGATATACTTAATCCAACGAAAAACTATAAAACAAGGTAACTATTGTGAGCTCAACCTCATGGTAAAATTTCTCTCAACAAAAAGCTTTACTGATGAAGAAGCAAGGAGCCAAAGATGGAGTCAGTGAACACTTTGCCGAGACTGTAGGCTTTCTGTTACGTTGATGTGATGATATTATATAGAAATATAAAGGTAATACATATATGTATATGTAATATATATAGATTCAAATCAGATCAGTACCGTTGAGTGTTTAACATACGAGAAAAACACTAGTAACAGTTTCACAACCGTCCGTCGGAGTTGGTCGGTACGTTGTTTACTTTGCCTGGTGTGGGCCAAAATGTTTTGTTTTTATTTTTTTATTTCTTGGATCATGAAATATTACTTTGTTTTTTATTTTAATATATATATTACACAATTTATTAAAAATTCACATTATCGAAAAACTATATAGTAAATACTCCAAGGTATTTAATATTTTTTCATAATTAAAGAAGGAGAAATGTATTCGGTATCTTGAAGAGTACAATATAAGTATTTAATATTAATTTTTTTAAAAATAATAAATTCCGACTTTCTACTATTTGATGAAGGGTTGGGTTAATTATTTAAATGGTTTTTTTTTATTTTTTATTTATTTTTTATATCCAAGTCAAGCATCATAGAACAATCAAATTTTTATTCTTTATGATTTTACAATAACATTTGGAGAGGATGGTTGAACTTGAACCTAGTTTGATTAGTTGGCCATTATAAAATTCATGAATTATTGAAAATTTGCATAAAATTAATATAGTCTTGTTTTTTATTTGAAACGTGTGTGTATAATATATATAGTCACCTAAACTTCAATTCCAAGACATTCCGGAAAAAAAAAAAAAACTTCAACTCCAGGAAGTGTAACACTTATTTATTGATCCAAGAATTAAAGTTTTGTGATTCTAGTCAATGGATCAACAAATGCGTGCGTGTATGAATTACCTACATAAAATAGAAAAATAATATATATATACACGTGTGTGTATATATATATAGTCATTATGGAGACAGTAGAGCAAACAAACATGGTATTAATCTTGTAGTTGTTGATTTCTTCTTCTTGTTATAAAATTCAAGAATTATGAGCAAACAAACATGGTCTTAATCTAGTTGTTGTTGCTGTTATAAAATTCATGAATCATTGAAAATTTTGATTAAAATTATATATATATATATATATATAGATAGTCACATATCTTTAATTCCAAGAAGTGTAATACAATTATGTAATAGATGTTGGCAATTTTTAGTGATCCTAGTCCATGGAACAAATGCGTGCTTGTTAGAATAAAACCTATATAAAACTGAAACTTCCAGAGACCGCATAGCAAAACAAACATGGTCTACAAAGTCATCCTTTATTATTTTAGGACCCAAAAAAAAAAAAAAAAAAAAAAAATAGAATTTTATAGCAGCAACAATTCTTTTATTAATTCTGAGTATTCGGAAAGGCAGGTCCCTCAACAACCCGACTAATTTTCGTGAGGTCGGAAAGGTGTTTCTCTACCCAGACTGAATAAATTACTGCAAGAGCAATAGAGACTAACCACAAAAAGTAACCAACGAGAACTCAAAATCGAGACCTTGAACTTTCAACGCACTAAAGTCTAGCAAACCAACTGCTGGACCATATCCTAAGTGAATTTTAGCTAGAAGATTTGTTCACACCTAATACCTCTCTTTTCCGAGATAAGATAGAATAAAGGTGGGTTTCCAACCTTAATTCCAGCAAGTTAACATTGGTGGGATTTTGGTGTGGTCCAACTAAGTGTCCTTATGTTCCAACTCAATCATTTAGAAGAGACTTAGAATAAAATCAGTTAAAGTTGCAATTGATGAATTTATTGAAAATAGAAGAAACTTATAAAGTTGCAATTGATGAATTTATTGAAAATAGAAGAAACTTACATACTAAATATATAATTTGTGGTGTTTTGCTCCATTTGAAAAATGAGTGGGGATTAATTAACTTCCTCTAACGGTTGCTGTTCAGAGTTAAATTTCTCCTTAATTGCACAGAAGCATCATCACATCAGATCATATCAACATAAATATATATAGAGATAACAATCATACACATCAACACACAATATAATATTTTACATGATTCACTCAATTCTATGGTTACGCTCATGGAAGAAATTTTTTTCACTATTTTGTATGAATTAAAGAAGAGAATATACAACTACATATACATGTCAAAACCCCATTCACTTACTCATCATCTCTTTTGAGGCTACATGTATACACTCGGGAATTATATATATTCTCCCATCTTCTCACAACATTCACTCCTAAAACCCTTACATATTTTCTCTCTTCTTTCTCTCTTTAAACCCCTCACACCCACTCATCTCTATTTATAGAGTTTTCAAAATTAAATTTCTTGTTGGACAAGTTTTTTTCAACATTTTTTTTTTGGATAATCCGGAGTATCCGAGGCATTGCCCAGTGATGCCTCCCCACACCGGGCCGAAATTTTCCTCAACTTGCTTGCAAGAAGTCACTATATCAATTCAAACCCTAAAATAGAAACTTAATAGAGCCACAAAACCAACACTGAAATCCTCCATGGAGCAGTGTTATCCACAATTTAGTGAGGTGTGATCGAAGGTGAGTCTCATTTATTATATCACGGAGATAAACAACATTCGAACAAGAATTTCGGTGCAAATCCTGGGCTTTAAAAAAAAAAAAAGAAAAAAAAGAAAAGAAAAAAGAAGGTGATTGTGTTGAGTATTTCCAAACTTGACCGGAAGTATTTTTTTGTTTGGTTTATGATAAAAATCAAGCTGCCGAATTTAAAAACTTAAATTTAAGTACGAAAGGAGTCTAATCTAACAAAATTGAAGTCAAGACTATGTAATTTTGAATAGATATTTATTAGTATTTTTATCATTTTCACTA